AGGCAATGCACACCATCTGGGGGGCATGAGGAGAAAGGCCTGTTCATATTCCTTTGCCAACACCAGTGCCAACAAAGCCACTCCTCACAGACCAGTCTGAAACCAATAGTCTTGCAACCATGTTTTCCTTAGCAGCTGCAAGTCAGAAACGCCCTTTCTGACCACTTCATATTCTGGTCATTAACTCACTGGGTGCTTTGCCTGGACCCTGTTACCTTTGGTAAGATAGTGCTTTCCTTAACTCAAAAGTTGTATGACAAGCTCAAATAGGGACAAAAGTATTTGAGTCTTTGTCTGTGAGGACTGGGGAGAAAATGAGATAAAGGAAGGACTTTTCCTCCACCCAGAAAATAATAACAACAGTTTTTTCAGTTTCATTTGATACTAAGTGCCTATGTATGAGTACATACACATGAGAGTGAAAAGGTGAAAACAAATAATTAAAGACATGACAATGAGACACCACAGAGAGAGGTAGAATGCTCATTTTAGGGGGAAGAGGGCTAAAGGTAAGCTCCCAGCAATCAGAGTTAAGGGCTCTCATCTGGAAGACCAGCCAAGCTCTTCTCCATTCTCTCTGAGGATGCAACCAAAGAAATTAACCTTATGTTACAGCACAGAAGGTTTCAAATGAGACAAAATGAATTATTTATTGACAGTGAGAGTTGTTAACATACTGAGAAAAATCAGAGTTCCCTTCTCTGGAGTTCTTTAAAAGCAATATAGATAACCATTTGACATGTATGGCTTAGGTGGTTTTCTTGCCTCAAAAGGTTGAAGTGATTCCTACCCATGAGTCTGCATTAGAATGATGATCATCTCTCTAAAGATTAGTGAGCATTAGCCTTCAGTATGGACAGTAAATACAGAGCACACTTCATGCTTCCACCCTGGTTGTCGCAAATTTCTGGCCACACTCACTGCATTTTATACAACTACTATCAGAAACAGGCACATGACCCATTTAGGAGATGAAGAAACGAAGGGATGAGGGACCAAGTGACACCTAAAGAGAGAGGGTCAATAAGAATCCTATCAATGTCTTGTTACTGGACAAATTAGCAGGAGCACCAGGGTTGAGTTCTTGTTTTCTGAACTCCAGTGTAGCTGTGTGGTTAGAATTCCAGGACAGGGAAACACAGCCATTGCATACATGACATATACAGGAAGAATAAAGATAGAATGAAGTATAGCACTGTGCATGATTTTTATTTATGTGAGTGCAAAGAGACTTGGCTAGTTCCTGGGATTGAACTTGGATTGCTTTGGAAGAGTGTCATGGGTGGACATCCACTGCAAGCAACACAGGAACTAAAAGTGTTTTCCTGAATGTACCTCCTTGTCTGGCACATGTGAACACGTAGCAGTGTGCTTGCATAGACTCCACATGGCCCAATGCCTCCCTGAACAGCCACAGGTGAAGCTGGGTTGGGGTTTATTCTATGCTCAGAAAACATTGAGCAATTGGATCTCTGAGTTCTCTTCCTTGACTGCATGAGGTAACATCTATGATTCAGAGAGGTTTACATTCAGAATACATAGGCTTCATCTCTCCATTGTTTAATGCCATGGTCACTTTTAACTTCATATTTTTTGAGTCCTGGGAAGAGAACATTAGAGAATTATCTGTGGCAGTGATTCTCAGCTTGTTGTCCACGGACAGTGCTGGCTCACCACACCTTTAGTCCTAAAGAGGGTGACTAACTTTCCTAGTTTTGTCACTGTAAGTCCCACATCCCAGGAAATCCCTCAGTTCCAGGAGAACTGGCATGATTGGTTGTCCTAGTCCTCAGTGAAATAAGGACAATGGGTCTTTCCTGAAATTAAAAGTATTTAAATTCTGAAAGCTGATGAGTTTCTCTAAAGCTTAGCATATGTAATTTAAACTGGATTTTGTGATTCTGCCTTCCTACAACTTGGCTTCAAAATTCCATTTTAAAAATAAAATTATAGTGACAGTGGTTGGTAGTATTGTAGTTTTTTTTAAACATCCTTATTTGTTACAGATTATGATAATCTTTTTTTAAACAATTTAAAAAAATAATAAAAGATTTTATTTATTGGAGCATCTGGATGGCTCAGTTGGTTAAGCATCTAACTTCTGGTTTCAGCTCAGGTCATGATCTCCATGTCGTGGGATCAAGCTCTGCATCCAGCTCCACACTCAGTGTGTAGTCTGCTTGAGATTCTCTCTCTCCCTTTTCTTCTGTGTTAGAATGATGACCGTTATCTCTGAAGAGATATGGTCACCCCCCTCCTCGCCATGCCTGCACACTGTCCTCTCTCTCAAAATAAAGATTTTATTTATTTATTTGTGAGAGAAAGAACCTGCGTGTGTGCATGTGCACACATGAGTGGGGGAAGGGCTGGGGTGGGGAGAGAGAGAGAACCTCCAGCAAACTCTGCACTGAGCATGGAGCTGGGTACAGGGCTTGATCTCACAATCCTGAGATCATGACCTGAGCCAAAATCAAGAGTCAGACACTTAGGCGGCTGAGCCACCTGGGTGCCCCCAGATGATGATAATCTAATGTCAGACCCCCACCTTTTATTTCTAGTATAGCCTAGATACCACTCAATGATACAGTTTCTTTCTCCACCTTAAATTATCTGCCCTTCTACTGGTTGTCATACCGAGACTTTTGATCTTAAAGTGATGACGTTTATGGGCAACATATGGTGTTGGTTCTGACTAGAGTTGCTGAGCTTGAAACAGCTAATGCTCTTATTCTACTGGTTTACACACTGCTTAGAGAAAGCGGTCTTCCTCCTACCTTCCCAGTTTGCATTTCTAATTCTTTCCCCATTCTTAAACATTTTTTTCAAGTTCTGGCTGGGAAACCACAGAGGCTTTTAACTGTAATACTACTGGGGTGATAAAGGAGAACATGGGGGAAAGGTGGTGGGTGAATGAGAAGTGGGAAGTAATGGCTGTTCCAGTAAATTACTGTGCAACCTTGGGCAAGTCACTTAGCTTTCTGACCCTCACTGTTGCTCATTTGTAAATTGGAGGTGACTTTTTATTTTATTTTATTTTTTACCAAACAGAGAGGGTCTTTTGTACCCGCCTTGGGTACAAAACCTCATTCCCAGGGGCCCAGCTCAGGGCACTTTCTTCCCAGGCCCTGGCATTCCAAAGTAAGCACCTGCAATTTATGATCCCTTCTCTCTTCCTGCACAAAACACATAGCACACAATACATATGTTTCAGGAGGGGAATTGTGGTAGACTGAAAACAGAACATTATGCTAAGAATCAAATAACTGGGCTCCAGTCTGGCCAGTGTACCTCACTAGCCCTTTACCCTTGGGTAAATCACTTCCTCTTTGGATTCCAGTCTGCAAAGTGTTGGGGGAGGGGTGTTAGTACTATGTAGTAGGTAAGTACTCACCCAGGAATCTGCAGATCGGATTTCTTATTCCGGTTTTGCTGCTTGCTGACTTATTCTATGACTTGGGGGAAATGAGTTCCCCCTTTACTGGGCCATGTGCCCCATATGTAAAACAAGAAGGTTGAATTAGGTGATTCATTACAGTCCTTGCCAGCCTGGAAACTGGCTGCTTCTATGAAATGGGTTTCATTAGACAAACATGAGTTGGAGTGTCTACTCTGTGCCAGGTGTTGTTTAATGGTGTTTGTGAAAATGTCCACAGCTGGGCATAGTCCCCAAGACCCTGAGTATAACTGCTGTTTGTTCCTGACAACGTCCTAAACTGGCAGTATGGTAGCCCCATACACCTAGTGCCTGTATTCCCCTTACCTTGTGTCCCCACTGCTGAACCTTTCTCCCACCACCTGTAGCTTTAAGCAACGGTGATGAATCATGGAGAAGTTTCTGAAATATACTCCACCATCTGCCTGCTGGAGACATTCATGGTGCTGTCATCAAGCTACAGTGTGGTCTCTGCCCTAATTGAGGCCAGAAAGCAATGGCAGATTAATGGAGTTGGGAGGGAAGTGGTTGATTATCAACAGAGGGGTCTGTGAAAGCCATTTGTGAGCTGGGCTGAGATTAGATCTGAAAAAACTCAGCATCTTGAATCTGAGATTACTTGTTCCAGAAGGCACCTTGAAAGGTCCTTACAGTTACATATGTATGTTCCTATTGCCAGGCAGGGGGTACTTGATCCATTTCAGAGAGAGGAGAAGCTTTCCTGACTATATTGAGTGAAGGATGAGGCAGGTTTTCTTAGTAGCCCATCTAGAGTTAAACAACCCTCACTGCTTGGAAAGTTGCATCCCATATTGTTTTTGGGGAAAAAGTGACTGAACAGTGCTCACTCAATGACAACCATGGGGTGTGAGACAGACACCCCTTGTTTTATTCTAAACATTACAACCCTGTGTACAGTTCATATGATGCACTACTGGATATCCTACATAGGTCCCATGGACACATCCTGTAACTCCAGAGTGAGCTCTCCTTCCCTCTTCTGTCTTGTAGGAGGGGCAGCCCCGTAAGTTGTCTTCCTTCTTCTTCCTTCCTTCTTCCTTTATTCTCTGAAAACAACTTGGTTTCTGACCCCTTTGAGATATCATCTTCTTCCAGGTTCCCAGGACAGCAAGGCCATTCCACTGGAAGCTGACGATTCTCTGGGCTGCCTTGGTTTCATTCCAGTTTCAGCTCCTACCACTCATTTCATGCTAGATAGATGTCAAGAGTTAGTTGAAAGCTGACTAATTAGGCTGCATTTGAGTTGGCCGAAGAGTCACTAATTCACTTCTATGGTTCTTCTATTGCAGCCTAGAGACCCTAGAACTCTGAATCAGGTGGGAGGAAGGGAAGATGGGAAAAGTGCTGGAAAGCAGAATCCCAGAAGGACCTATATGGGCCTCGAAAGAATGATCTTATCCAAAGGCAAAGACCAAGTTGTCCATAAACAAGCCCTAGGACTGGCTAGCCAGATGAAAAATAGGCCAATGGAGCCTACATGCTAACTTTCTGCATTTGGTGCTATGACCCAACTCATCTCCCCATCCCTGCAGAGAAACCTGGGACCATGAGGAGCAGCCTGACACTGGTGGGGACCCTCTGGGCCTTCCTGTCCCTTGTTACTGCTGTGGCCAGTTCTACCAGTTACTTCCTGCCTTACTGGCTCTTTGGATCCCAGCTGGGGAAGCCAGTGTCATTCAGCACATTCCGGAGGTGCAACTACCCTGTGCGGGGAGAGGGGCACAGTCTGATCATGGTGGAAGAGTGTGGGCGCTATGCCAGCTTCAGTGCCATCCCAAGCCTGGCCTGGCAGATGTGCACGGTGGTGACAGGTGCCGGCTGTGCTCTGCTGCTCCTCGTGGCACTGGCTGCTGTCCTGGGCTGCTGCATGGAGGAGCTCATCTCCAGAATGATGGGACGTTGCATGGGAGCAGCACAGTTCGTGGGAGGTAAGACTGTTGTGGGGGTTGGGTAGGTTGTGGAGCTTGGCAGTGGGGGTTGGGGTGGGAAGTGTTTCTTTATGGAGAAATCCACTCTCAGCCCCTCCCCTTTACCCAACCCAAAGGCTATGAATGGGAACTCCTTTGAAACACCCAGCCTAGGACTCCCTAAACTGCCATCTACACCAAGACTTTATTCGTAGCAAAATTGACTGGCAGCAAAGTTGATATCTGGTTTGTTAGCCCTCCATTTCATCACCTTCTTCTGCCTGAATAGTGCCCATTTAATGATATTATCCAGGTCCACTTTCCAGGGATAACAATGTGTACTCTAAATATACTTGGTATCTAAAAGCCTTGACCTCTGGTAGTTATCTCAGAGGACAGTGATCTGATAAACATGTAGACACAAGTGCTAATTACTAACAAGTTTGATGTATGATCCTCACCAAAGAAATACAGCTCTAAAAGTGAAATGCTAGGTACCAGACAGACTGTAGTGACTGCTTATTTGGCCTATATCTATCTATGGCTAGCCCTGTCTGGTAGCCATTAGCAGTCTCTCACCCTGAGCCCTTTTCTGATTTGAGAGTGGCAACTTAGCTTCATTTGAATTTCTAAGAGTTGCCAGCAGAGAGTGAGGAGGGACTAACTGGTAGAAATCAGAAGGCCAGTAGCAACAGCTTCCATCAGACTCCAACCGTTAACAGTGGCTTCTGTTCCCAGCTTGCTTGGGCTTGACTGAGACATTTATGAAACCCTTGCCATTCTCCATATGATACATTTTAGTTTGTCCCACTTCCTAGGTCGGGAAAATCAAAGGAAATTCTTGAGGAGATATGTGGGTAGGTCATGGAGCTTTAGACACTCATAGACTGAATGAGGAGGTACTTTGGCTGAGTGATAGGTGTCATACAGAGGAAATAAAAACATCAGCACCCTTTTCATCTCATATGTTTCCCCTTATAGAATGATTCCCCATTGACTCATGCTCATAGGAACATGGCCACAGTATTTACACTTAGAGGAGGGATTTTAAAGTTCAAGAATAAAACGCCATTTGACAGTAGTCATGGAAGGAGTCAAAATCCAACGCATGGCAGTGCAAGGTTTATCCCTGGATATGTGAATGATATTGGGCAGGTTGCTAAATTCTAACAGTTTCCCCATCTGTAACACCAGCCAAATAAGTGTCATTCCTACCACCTTTATAGAAACTGGTGCCTGTCACGTTTATATCAGATGTGAGGGAATGGTGAAGACTGCTTGGATGTATCATATTTTCTAGGAGCCCCTTGGCACATGATCATAACCCAAGGGTCTTCAAAGACCTTGGATCTGACCTCTTAGAGATACACTCTGCCAGTGTCAGGAAGCTAAACCTGAACAGCATGTTTAGCACCATGGATAAAAGACACAAGAGAAGGGACTGTGGGGGTTAAGTTTAAGCTTGTTGTTCAGCTGAGGGGGATTGATTTTTGTTGCTCCAGGCCTGGCAGCTTCTCGGCAGCTAGTGCATTAACTGAAATACATTAGTGGGTGGAGCCAATTTGTTTTAGGTCTGGTTTATCTCTGCCAGACCCCAAACCACTGAAGAGATGGAGTATCCATTAAGAACAACCTCCTCCCCCTCCTGACTCTTGTTCCCCAGTTTGGCAGCTGCCCACAGAGATGAACGGTGGGAAGTGAGAGAGACAGGAAGAAATAAAGAGCTGCTGGCCTGAGTCAGACTTAGCAAGGTGACCTGATGGGGCCCTTGGGTCCCATTTGCTCCACCTGCAGCTGATCCAGCTGGCCAAGCCTAGGGTCCAGAGAGCCTTCCACTGGGACCTTCATGCCCTGCTCCAACCGGTGAAGGAAACATCTGGCCAGGAGATTATTTCAACCCTGGGGATGCTGAGGTTTCCAACCAGCTGGCCCCTAGTCCCTGCGAACAAGGTCATTATTCACATTCCCCTGTGTATACATATGCAAGATGCTTGTGAATTGTTCTCTATCTTCGGTAAGAGCTAAACAAAGAAGAAATAGTTGAGAAGTAAATATAAGGAACTTCTTGGCAGGAAAAAGTGGAAGATCTTGGATTGAGTTACTTGAGGGAGGCCAGGAAACTTTCTAGAGCATGGAATGTATCAGGATCACCTGGAGTGCTTAAAAAATGTGGACTCCCCATCTCTCCCATCCTCTTTCCCATTCTGATATACATAGGAACAGGTGGAAGTCTGGTGTTTTGAAAAATCTCCCCAGTGACTCTGATGTGTACGCTGTGTTCCCTTTCTTCAACTTAAGTGAGAACCATCACCCTGGACATTTTTTTTTCTTTAAGGAGATAGAATTCAACATATCCAGACAAGCACCAGTGTTTTTTTTTCCATGCACAGTCCTAATGCTATATGCTTCAAGCTCAATGAAAATTGCCACTGGAGACAGATCGCTGAGGACCTGAATCAAGGAAAGGGAACTATTTTTCTAAAAACCATTATCTTCTCTGGAAACAATGCATTTCCAGGACAATCCTTCAAAGTTTCACTGGCATCATTTCATTTATCCTTACCATGCTAAACAAGGATAAAAGTGGCTTTCTGTTTGGGAAAATAGTATTTAAAGAATTAAGTAGCAAATATTTGTGTAGCAAATTGGAACAGAGCAGAGAAGATGGGTCAGGGCTCCTGAATCTCGGCCCTGAGCTTTATGCACTGGTAGTATTGATTTTTCCTTTCCCCCTTGAAGATGAAATGCTATCACAATGTTTTTCAGAGTGGTCCATGAAACACCTGTGTAAGAATTACCTGGTGCTTGTTAGTGCCATTCTAAGCCTACTGAATCAGAACTGATGCCTTCCACTTTGTATTTTACACAGCCTTTCAGACTGATTTATTTTTTAAAATATAGTATAAAATAGTTCAGTGGTATGTACCACTCAGCTTAAGAAATGGAATATTACCAATACAGTTATAGTCGCCTTCATATCCTGATCACGGTCCCTTGTTCCTACAGCAAAGGTAACTACTGTCTTTGATTTGTTATTTATCATTCTCCAGCATGATTCCAGTACACGCTAAAATTTGAGAGCCTCTGCTCAGTTTCATTCATAGTGTTGCTTTTTTCTAGAATTCCCTTTTCTTCCATCTCTGTCTGTAAACAGATATTTGGTGGAGAGTATAACAAAATGATTGCACACTCAGTATTTGTACTTATGAATGGCTGGGGGGGGGGGGGAAGGGGGTCGATAGCGCCCAGGGAGAGGGCTTTCTCTGCCCAGAGACAAAGATTTACCATCTACCTAATGGAGAATGTGCAGTTAGGAGGAGTTTATACAACTGTTGGGATGTGGCGAAGTAGTAATTCTGGTATCAGGGGAAGGTTGGCATCTACCTAATGGAGAATGTGCAGTTAGGAGGAGTTTATCAGGAGAAGGTTGACTGTAGCTGAGAAGTAGCTTCAAGGAGGGTTCCAAGTTCATCCAAGAAGGTGAGTCTGAAGGTTTGAGGCGAAACAGAGTAAAGTGTTTAACTCCAGTCCTCTGCTTGATCAGAGAAGTGAATTCTAGCCATAGCAACCATGTTTGGGGAGGACATTTGGTACATTTTGCAATAGGGGATTCTTGTAGAAAGAAAACTTGAAGGGAAGCAAGATGGCAGCCCAATTGGTCACTGTATAGTAGGGAAATAAGTATAATAACATACCCTTTCTAGAGGCAGATGAGAATAAGAAAGTACCTAGCTGAACCAGGGGACATACGTGGTTGGAGAGGTAATAAGTCCAGGAATTAGCAACAGCACCTAGAGAAGTTGGAGTCAGGGCTACAGGTCATATGTGGCAGGGCTGGTATTTAAACTAGTTTTCTCTGCCATCAGAGCTGCTGTTCTTCATATTTTTAGTGGTGTTTATCTTAAGTGTTGGTACCAGAACCAGATGCATCAGCATCACTAGGGTGCTTTTGAAATGCATATTCCTAGGCTACAGTTACTGAATCAAATATCTATGGCTGAGGCCCAAGAATCAACATTTTTTAATAAGCCCCACTCTTCCAGAAGATGGCAAGGCCTGGCACTGGCAAATGACTTCTGCCTTTCTATTTGAAGCTCATCTTCAGAATCCCAAATTGATGAGAACTTTTGGAAACAAACATAACTGAGGATAAGTTACCTTGTGAGTTCATTTTTAAAATATGTCTCCCAGGACACATCTTTCTCCAGCTATGAGCAAATGTGATGGAATCAGCTATCAGTTACAAGTCAAACGTCTCCATGAAGCGTGTGTACAACCTACTGCACTCATCTATCTAAAAGGCAGGAAGGAGGATAGGGAATGGGAAGAGTAGGAGGACTGGTTGGGTAGAGCTTGGGGCCACACGCACTGGGGCAGAACACATGCCTGGCCAAGATTTCTAGTCTCTGGCTTGATGCCTGCAAAATATTGCAAGATAACAACTCCAGCCAGGAAGCTTTTGAATCGAGCCTTGTTGAGCATTTGACTTTTCAGCTGTATTTTTTATGAGGACAAAGAGGTGAGGAAGAAATTAGCATGGAGAAAATAGGTGGAAAGTGAGAGAGGAGTCATAGGGAGAGGCTGCTGTTTAATGAAAATAATTTTTTTGTCGAACACTTTCTATATGCTAAGCACTTTCTAAGTATTATTTCTTGAAACAGCCCTATAAGATGGAGTACTATATTCTCATTTTAAAGTCAAGATAAATGAGGCACAGAGAGATTAAGTGACTTGCCAAAAGTCACATACAGACTCTAGGTGGCAGAGTTGGAATTTGAACTTAAATCTAGACTGACTACAGAACCCGTTCTCTTTTTTTTTTCCATCTTATTAAAATATAATTGACATACAACACCCTGTAAGTTTAAGGTGTACAATGGGATGATTGGATATGCATATATATTGTGAAATGATGACCATAATAAGGTTAGATGACACATCCATCACCTCACATCATTATGTTTTTTTTGTGTGTGTGTGGTGAGAACATTAAAGATCTATTCTTTTAATGACTTTCAAGTATAGAATACGATATTGTTCTCTGAAGTCATTGTGTTGTGTTGTCTCTCTGGATGGAACACCTATAAGATTCCTAGGGCTTGCTAGAGATATTGTTGTCAAAAAGTGGTCATTTCTGGATACCCATCTCCAGAACAGCAGAGCTTGTAAGGGTTGATGATCACTCTGATTAGTGGGAAAAACTGTTGTCAGTAACTGGCAATGTGACCATAGGTAAATCTCTTTCCCTCTCTGGTCTCAATATCCACATCTGTAATGGGGACAAATTGGAGTAGGTAAACTCCAGAGGCCTTTCTCTCTCTAAGATTCTATGTCTGTATCTGGTGTCTAGGATGATCTCCCATCCCTGCTATGAAGATACCTTCAGAAGGCTTCCCCCTTGGGTAGCATGGGCAAAGGAAGCTGTCTGTCAGGTACACATAACATACTCTGAAAGAGATGCATTTATTGGACACCTATTACATACCAGGTGCCAAGTGTTCCTCCCTTCCAAGAACACACACGTTAGTAAGGGAAGCAGACCTCAGTCAGTTGTGAAGCATATATATCTCAGGATATTTTAATCACAGGATTAAGCACAGGGTGCTGTGGGAACAAAAAGAAGGAATATGTAACTTAGACTGGAGGTGGGACCTTGGGGCTAGTGAGAAAGGCTTCCTGGAGGAGGTAATTCCTCCTTAACCTGACCTGAGCTCCTCAACATGGTAAGGTCTGAGGAACAAGAGAGGGCTGAGGAAAGTAGAAGGTTCCCCTTGCCATGTTGAGACAGACACTTGGCCAGCAGGAATACATGCTTGAGAAATCAGAGTTCATGCCAGTCCCAGGGTTCTGAATGTGGAGGTTGGAAAGCAGAACTGCTGTTCTTTTATGAACTTATGTTCTTTTCTTCCTAGTTTGTGTGGAAAAGCTCACTTTTTAGTAACTCTTCCCTCAAAGGATATATATACTAGAAGCAGGAAAAGGCTTAGATTTCATTTCCAATTTTGTCCTTAACCCACTGTGCGTACTCTGGGTTCCATATTCTGGCTCATACCTCCTCATCTCTCAGGATTTCAGTTTATCTGTGGTACAAACAAGCAAACAAAGGAAGCCCTAAACAAATAGGAGTGTTGTTCCATTGTCAATGGATAAATTCCAGAGCCTAGAAAAGTCTTTGAGTGACCAGTTTCATTTCCTTTAAGACTATGAGACAGATAAGAATGCCTTCTAATTTTAAGCATTCCACTGAAGGGAATTTCTAGCCTTAATTGGTCATTCTTTTAGTTTCTAAACCCTCTCTCACTGTCAGAAAGTTATCACTGTTATCCTATTTAAACCTTTCTTTTAAAAAAAAAAAAAACATTTTTATTTATTTATTTGAGAGAGCAAGGAAGAGAGCACAAGCAGGGGGAGGGGCAGAGGGAGAGAGAGAAGCAGGCTTCCTGTTCAGATGCAGGGCTCAATCCCAGGACCCTGGGAACATGACCTGAGCTAAAAGCAGACACTTAACTGACTGAGCCACACAGGCACCCCTAGATAAACCTTTCTTGCTATTTCTTAAGGCCCTCATCTTTTTCTCTGGACTCATGGAATAGTGAGAAAAGCTGGTTGCCATGTTGCAGACAAGCTTAGAGTACTTTGTGATCTTCTTCCAAAAGGATTCATCTTAAGACAAAGTGCGCTTATTAGCTTCTCAGAGTGTATATGGAATCTTCCTCAGTGGGGAAAGAGAGGTGGAGGGGAGGCCAGCAGTCTCTGGAATATTCTGCCTTTCACTGTCCAGCTGAGCCCTGGAGCTCTGGAACCTCTAAATATGCCGTTCATTCATCACTGATCAAACACTTGCTCTGTGGAGGTTCTGTGTTATGTGCTAGTTTCTGCATTTATATTCGTGGCATATCACTTTCCCATAAACTTTGGTATAGTACCCAAGTATAGTGTTCTTGTTATTAGGCTCTCTTTGTTGCTAGTAGGAGAGACTCACTTGAGTTCTTTCACTAAAATGGAGTTTATCATAACACAAGGAAAGTGGAACTGGAAAGCCATTGGGAAGGACTGGATTTTCTGTAGCTCTTTCAGTGGGAGTATGGAGTTTTTAATCACGGTGTATCTGCTTCATGCCACTGTATCCTCTTTCTCTAGCAATCAGTTCACTCAGCTTCCTCAGAATTGACATCTGTCCATAACTTTGAATTGAACTTGGCTTCAGCTTGACACAGACTTGATTGTACCTCTTGGTGTTTTTCCTCTAACTTCTATTCTATCTGCTAACTAGCTCAGCATCTCTGTTTCTTGATTAAAATTTCCAGAAAGAAGAATCTGGCCCAACTCTTCTCTTCATGCCAGGTTATGATGTCAGCTTTCACTGGCCAGCCAATGAATTTTGTCACTTTTGTGTCCAGTGCCAATGCTTAGCCCAACCCACTGTCACCAAAGGCATGCGGCAGGGTTGGGGGGGCGGGTTGTAGGTTATAAAAGGTAAACCTAGGCAGTAAGCAAGAGCTGGGGATGAGGCACTTGCCCTTGGAAGGCAGTGTCAGCAAGCAGAACCAGACGTACCTTTTGTTGGAAGAGTAAGGTTATCACCAAGATCCCACAGTTTCTCTCTAGTGACCAAATAACCTAAACAAAATGGACATGAAGACAAGGGGTGCAGTGAAAAGCATTAGAATCCAAATAAAGGAGAAATGCTTAGCATAAAGCTGGAATGATTTCTCAGAATAAGAAAGTATTTCTGGAAGAGGGAGTGTGGTGCCTTCCTCACCAGGAGAAGCCTACCCAATGTGTATGCTTTCTCTAGATCTCAGTCTGGCAGCTGAGATAGAAGTGATTCCAAGTGATAGAAATCATGACCTACCTTCGACTAACAGGGACCTATTTGACTCTTAGAAAAAGCTGAATTTTAGGAAAGAGTAGCAGTCTCTACATTGTTATTCTTTGAAAATCAGACCAAGATAGAAGAGGAGTCGGACTGGGAAGGCCAACTTAGTGTTATAAGTTATTGTCAAAAATATTTGGGCTGTAAAAAGTATACTGGCCTGTCTCAATTCCCAACACTGCCCTTCATAAGTTGTTCCCTCTATTATCTACTTCAACTCACTGCTTATGGCGTGGCAAAGAAATTCTGTTGAGTTGGTAGTGTCATAGACATTTAGGGTTAAAGAGGAAAGGTAAACTCTGAACAGAAGAGGCAGAAGTTGAGCCAAGTTAATCCAGAGAGAAATTTTGGGTGACAGAAAATATGTTATATTTTTCTACCTATTTGTATGCTTTTCTTTCCAGGGCTGCTGATAAGCTCAGGCTGTGCATTATACCCCTTAGGATGGAATAGCCCGGAGATAATGCAAACATGTGGGAATGTCTCCAATCAATTTCGGTTAGGTAAGGTGGCCTGGGCAGGATGGTAGTGATGGTTCTTTTGGGAATCTAGTTTTCAAAGTGCTTTACCTCTTGGAGGGGACTCTGCTGGCTAGTGGTGCTTATCTGAGTCTCTGTCATTATGTTGGCTTGTGGGAAGTGGTGGCTTGGCCAGATTCATTTGGCCTCACTAACTCACAAAGGACTTAAACTCCTCTTTTTAAATTATGTCTCTCCACATTCTTTACGCACTTTCACCCAGAGTCCTGTGACCAGTTTGGGGAAAATCTATCTACAGGGGGATTTCAAATGCTTAGAGACTGATGATTTGTCATTCTCTGAAAAACTCCTAGTTCCTATTATTGTTTCTTTCCCAGGCACTGTTTTCCAACTATAAATCAATAGTATCTCTTCTCACTCTCTACCAAGGATGTAACAAGAGGTCATTTGGTTTACACCAAGCATTATGAAGTAAATTAAATATAGAGAATTGTTACTGGCATTGTTACATTGTTACTGGTATGTTAATGGCAAGAGCTGTCAAGTATTAGAATTGGCTACAGAAGTACCTCTGGACTCTTATGGTTGCCAGTCCTCACTGAGAATGGCTTAAGTTCACTAATGTGAACTGGGAATAGATTAGTCTCTAACTGAAAGTCTTCAAAATATTTTCCCAACCTACTGTGATGGAAGGGAGTAGAAGGGAGTAGAAGTAGAAATACAATTGATTATTCTCAATTGTAGGAGAGGATTTTGGAACAATGAGACCAACTATTCCTTATAGCTTATGCTCCAATACTTCCCTTTCTCTCTGTTGCCTCAGACTTTTTTGAGTCTCACATGACCCATTTTTGGAGAAAGGGGTTGTTCACTATACAAATATAACAAGAGGGAAGAGCTATATAGAAGATGTGACAAATGTGGACCCTGGAATGTCCAGTGTTACTGGATCAAGCCATAGCTCTCTGGCACCTTCTGACATAGGTGAAGGAATCAGTAAATATTTGTGGGCAGGTTCTGAAGAAGAAGGAAGCAGACCACTGATCCAGCCAATCAGGATAGATAAAACTGAAGACTTAGCACATTTCTCCTACATTGTTTTTAGACACATAATTCTCCTTTTTAAAATAATAGCTTTATTGATACACAATTCATATACCATAAAATCTGCCCCTTTAAAGGCTACAATTAGTGGTTTTCAGTATATTCACAAAATTGTGCAATCATCACTACTATGTAATCCCAGAATATTCCAAAGGAAACCCAATACCCATAAGCAGTCACTCCCCATTCCCCCCTACATCCCAGCAACCACTGCCAATATAGATTTGCCTATTCTAGAAATTTCATATAAATGGAATCAAATAATATGTGGTTTTTAGGTCTGCTTCTTTTACTTAGCATATTGTTTTCAATGTTCATCCATTTGTACCATGTATCAATACTTCTGCTTTTTATGGCTGAATAATATTCCATTGTATGGCTATAACACATTTTGTTTATCTGCTCACTAGTTGATGGATACTTGGGTTTTTCTACTTTCAGGCTATTATGAATAATACTGCTATGAATATTTGTGTACACATTCTTGGATGGACATATATTTTCATTTTTCTTGGGTGGATTTCTAGAAGCAGGATTGCTAGGTCAAGTGTGAATCTATGTTTAAGTCTTTTGAGGAACTGCCAGGCTGTCTTCCAATGTGACTGCATCATATTAAATTTCAACCAGCAATGTGCAAGTGTTCCAATTTCCCAACATCTTCACCAATACTTATTTTTCATTTTTTAAAATTATAGCCATCCCCATGGGTATGAAGTGGGGTCTCAATGTGATTTTAACTTGCATTTCTCTGATAACTGATGATGTTGGACTTCTTTTCATTTACTTATTGGACATATCCTTCCTATATCTTCCTTGGAGAAATATATGTTCAAATTCTTTATCTATTTTTAACTGGGTTATTTGCCTTTTTTGTTATTGTTGTTGAGTTGAAAGAGTTCTTAATGTATTCTGGATACTAGACTCTTTTCAGATATATGATTTGCAAGTAGTTTTTTTTTCCCATTCTGCGGGTCATATTCTACTTTCTTAATGATATCCCTTGAAGTACTAAGTTATTTCATCTTGATGAAATCCAATTTTGCTTATTTTGCTTTTGTTTCTTGTGCTTTTGGTGTCATATCTAAAACTATATTGCCAAACACAAGGTCATGAAGACTGTTTTGGCTATCTCTTGCTTTTCCATGTAAATTTTAGGTTCAACTTGTCAATTTCTGCACAAAAGCAAGCTGGGATTTTGATAGATTGTGTTGAATCTGTATATAAGTTTGGAAAGTATTGCTACTTTCACAATATTAAGTTTTCTAATCCAAGAACACAAGATGACATTCCACTGAGTTGGATCGACTTTAATTTCTTTCAATGATATTTTGTAGTTTTCGGTATATGAGTCTTACACTTCTTTTGTGAAATATCTTCCAAAGTATTGTTTTTTTAAGATTTATATATTTATGAGAGGGAGTGGAGGAGGGGCAGAGGGAGAGAATCTTCAAATAGACTCTCCACTCATCATGGAGCCCAGTGTGGGTCTCAATCCCACAACCCATGAGATCATGACCTGAACCAAAATCAAGAGTCAGATGCTTAAATGACTGAGCCACCCAGGTTTCTGTATTGTTTTTTTTTATAGTATTATAAATGTAATTGTTTTCTTAATTTTATATTTTGATTGTTCATTGTTAGTGTATAGAAATACAAGTGATTTTTCTATATTGACCTTGTATCCTACAAGCTTGCTGAACTCCTTTATTAATTCTAATGATACTTTGGAATAGATTAAGATTTTCCATATACAAGGTCATGTTATCTGAGAATAGAGAGTTTTACTTCTTCATTTTCAATCCAGGTATCTTTTATTTCTTTCCATTATCTCATCGCTCTGGCTAGAGCCTTCACAACAATGTTGACTAGAACTGGTGAGGGCAAACATCTTTATCTTATCCCTGATCTAAGGAGTAAAGATTCCAGTTTTTCACCATTAAGTATTGATGTTAATCATTTTTTTAAAAATGTGTGGCTTTCATTAGGTTGAGAATTTTCCTTTTTATCTATTTCTAGTGTGTTAAGTGCATTCATCATCAAAGTGTGATGGGTTTTGTCAAATCCTTTTTCTTTACCTACTGAGATGATCACATGCATTTTATTGATTGCTCTTCATATGTTAAACCAATCTTGTATTTCAGAGATAAATCATAGTTAGCCATGGTGTATAATCCACTTTATATGTTGCTTGGTTTGGTTTGTTAGCATTTTATTAAGGATTTTTGTATCTATATTAATTAGGAATATTGGCCTATAAATTTCTTTCTTATGATATGTTTGTTGGATTTTGGTATGCAGGCAACATTGGTCTCATAGAATGAGTTGCTATTTTGATTAATATAAAATGCCAAAGTAAAAAATTGCAGGCATGATTTGTGCATAGTCATTTGGCAGTTTTCTGCACTAGTCACCACCCCCCCCAAGGGACTAGTTCACAAATGGGCAATTTTGTGTGCAACTATCTTTGTTTCAAGTTGATGGTCATCAATCACATTTGCCATAGGATCATTATTTTTCTCTTTTCACTCAATATTTTTTATTGTTTCTTTCTCCATTACATTCTCCTCCTTATTTACCTTTCTCCCTGCACCATGTCTTCCCAAGGGCTCTGGCTCCCCTCTCCTCAGTGCCCTGAATACTGTTGTTCTGTGAATCCTTAGGGATGAAGGGATTGCTGAATCCTGCTTGAGTCAAACTCTCCCAGTCCCTTTTTGAACTATTCTTTCAAATTCTTCCAACTGCCTAAGTGTCTCTCATCCATGAGCCACATTTCCTGCCCATATTCTTCAATTACAGGCCTCCATATTAGCACTTTTCTGGTTAATGCTGAAAAGAAGAGACATCCTGTGCCATCCTTGATCCTTTTCAGGTCAGCTGCCCAAACATACATGATAGTGCCAACCATATTAGCAGCTATTCCTTGTAATATAGAGGTGCCAGGAGCAGCAACAAAACATGTAGTAGAATTTTAAAAAATATATTTTATGAAATGTTGTGAACAGCAATATGAAATATTTGATTACTCTGCTGGAGGGACCAAATGGAAAGTCCCAGAGATGTTTGGAAATAGAGAAAGGGCCAACTGAGTCCAAACTTTCAGCCATCCCTTCCAAGGCACCAAACCTGTGAGTAAAGCAGTCCTAGGCCCTCCATTCAAGCCATCCGAATATCACTGAATGACTCTAGTTAAAGCCATTTGCAGTGGAGCTAGCGCTCAGCTGAGTCCTGACTAAATTGTGACAAGTAGATTCATGAGATACGATAAAATGGATATTGTTTTAAGCTACTATGTCCTGGAGTTAGTTTGTTGTACAATAATGGTTGTATAATAGACTAACCAAAAAAATGCTAAATCATATACATATAAATTTATTATTCTTAATCAAAAGTAATTTTTGTATGTGATAAAATAGCACATAGATGTATAAAATGCAAAGTCAAAGTCTTTTTCCTAACCCTGACTCCCTTCTCCAAAGGGACCATTAAGTTTTTTTGTATCTCTCCAGAATTTTTAATAAATATAAAAATATGAGCATATCTTTATTTTGTTCAATAAAGACCATATTATATATCTATCTAGCTATATAACTAACTATACCATTCTGAATCTTGCATTTTTCACTCACCAGTATCTCTTGGAGAGCTATTAATGTTTATAGATCTCCCTTCTACATTTTAGGCATGCCATATTTTCCTATTGTAGGGATAGCACAAACTCTATGAAGGCAGGGATTTCTTTTTTTTTTTTTTCTGTAAGATTAAGTAACTTGCCTAAGGACTCTCAGCTGATAAACTGGCACAGCTGGGATTCAAATTCTAGAAGTCTGGTTCTAGCTAGCACCATCCAATAGCAGTTCCTGCAATGATGGAAATTTTTTGTGTCTTGCTATCCAATGTGTTAACCTTTAGCCACATGTTGT